AAAATAATCATATATAATTAAACTATGTAATGTTTTTAAATTAAAATTGTTGTAATAAAATAAAATAAAATAATTTTCCTATATACAATTTTTTTGGCAAAAATATCAAAAATTCTTGAAAATATATGTATCTATATTCTTTGACTGATGTCGTATATTTAAAATTTAAATCATCAAATTTTAATATTTCTAATAATGAATTATTGTAAATTATGATTAAGAAAATTTAATTTTAGAATGAATCCTTAATATATTATATTAAAATTTTGAATTTTCATTTGAAAAATATAATATATTTGTCTCTATTTTAAATCTCAAGTTTTAAACATAATATAATATTTTTCTAAATTTAAATCTCATTTTTTAATTTACTTAAAAATTGTTTGAAAATATTTCATCCTATATATGATTATTTTATCAATTTTTTTAATCATTAATATTTATATTATGCAATCGAACTTCAATCTAAATAACACTAACAATTTGCATTTCACGTGAGTGAAGCTAATTTAATAATATTTTAGGTCTTAGACTTTTATATAAAATAAACTGAAAAGAGTTGGTCTTATGCTCTTTAAGCTATATTCCTTTTCATTTAATACCTGCAAATAAATCATAATTTTCTAAAGAAACATTCACCGCTATTAGGAAATAAAATTTTAAAGATTTTTTGTTTCTTTTAGCAATTTTATTATAATAACTATAGATGTGCATCACACTTTACTCACTTAATTAGCGACAGGGTGTCCTTGTACATGGTCCAGGTGGCCTCCATGTTGCAGCGCTCCATGGCATCGGCGGTCAGCAGGAAGTAGACAATCGCCTCGAGGTAAAGCGTCATCTGACTGAACGAATCACGTTCCGAATCGGCGGCACGTTTCCGCCTGATCGCCTCCTGCAGCAGAAAGTCGTTTTTTCTATAAAGAGAAAGACGGGTTAAATAAAAACTGAGAACTAATGTGAGTGGGAGAGGTAGGAGTATGACCGACTGGGACTGAGACTGACTATCATTGCTAGATCAATTTCTCTAGGAAAAAATAGTACGGCTATGCAGTATGTCCAGCTGGGAAATACCCAGACCGATGATCGGGGATAGATCACTCTCTCTGAGAGAGTAAAGTACAGCCGATGATCGTGATCAATGCCTCTCTAGAGAGCGACAGATTTGCTAATCTAATTGAGCTTTAGTTTAAGAGAGAGGAGTAAGGCAATGGGGTATATCCAGCTGGGAACCTGGATCAATCTCAGCTCGTTAATCCATTCCATTAATATATCAATGCCCATTGCTCACCTGAGATCGTCGCTTTCGTTCTCCTCCTCCTTGTCAAAGTGGGATCGATAGATGAGACGCGGCTCTGGCTGTGGCGCTGCTGGTGGCGGCGTCGTTTGCACCGCTTCGCTGCAGGTGGTTGGCAGTTGGATGGGCGCGGCGGCAACTGTTGCTGCCGCAGTTGTGGACTGTGACAGCGACTGTTGCTGCTGCTGTTGCTGTTGCTGCTGTGATTGTGACAGTCGTGATTGCTGCTGTTGCTGCAACTTGTTGGGACTGCCATTGGCGGCGCTCTCCTGCTGCTGCATGAGCAACTCGAGCTTGTCGCGCGATAATCGCTCGTGATTGTTGGCAGGCAGCAGCACCGGCACGGGCAGCAGCTCCTTGCTGAGCTGTTCGGCCTTCTCCTTTTTTCGCTTCTTCTCCTTGTAGGGGCTCGAACTGGAGCTGGAGCTGCGTTTGCGTCGACGCGCGGGCAGCTCCTGCTTCAGCATGAACTCCTGCTTAACGCTGTTCAGTTTGTACTTGCCCTCGTAGCCGGGTTCCAGCTCCGGCTCGGGCTTAACGCCATGCTCGTGCTTGACGCCGCCCAGCAGCTTGCTAGCCGCGCCACCACCCCCGGCTGCACCACCCACATACCCGTTGGGCGTGTAGATCTGCTGCAGATCCTTGGGCGTGCGAGCGCCCTCGGCGGACCGACTGCTGAGATGGCCGTTCTGCTGCGCCTTCAGTCTCTCTGGCTGGTGGTGGTGCTGCTGCGAGTGGTGCTGGTGGTGGTGCTGCGGCTGATGCTGTCCATCAGCTGCGTACAGTCTGTAGCTATTCTGGTACCACTCGGGCGGCACTCGCGCCAGCTTGCTCAGATCGATTTTGCACATCAGCGATGTCAAGTGGGGCGTGGTGGTTCTTGCCGGCGATGCCAGTGTGGCGCCCAGCAGCTGTGTGGGCGTGGCACGCGGCTTAAGCTCTTTGGCCTGCTGTTGCTGCTGCTGCTGCTGTTGTTGCTGCTGCTGCTGTTCCTCGGATTGATCGATGATGACAACCTGACCCTGTTTCTTGGCCCCGCCCTCTTTGGGGTTGAAGATGCGCGTCAGTGTGCATATCTTCTTCTTATCACTCTTGCGCTTGCCGCTGCGATGCTCGCCGTCCTCGTCGCTGCTGCTGCTGCTGCTGCCGCTGCTGTTGCTGCTGCTGTCGCTGTTGCTGCTGCTGCTGCARTCGCTGCTGCTCAAACGCTGCGCCGACTGCGGCAGCGATTCGGCCCCAATTTGCCCCAGCAGCGATTGTTGCTGCTGCTGCTGCTGTTGCTGCAGCTGCAATTGTTGCTGGTGCTGCAATTGCTGCTTTTGTTGCTGCTGCTGCAGCAGCAACAATTGCTGTTGCTTGTGCTGTTGCTGCTCTTCTGTTTCGCTGCTGCTGCTGCTGTTGCTGCTGCTGCCAACGCTGTAGCGCCGCTTCGCCTTGCTGCTGCTGCTGTTACCGGCCACGCCCACTTTATTGATTTTCACAATGCGCTTCTTGGCGGGATTCTGTGCAGACGTTGCCACAGCAGTTGCCGCTGTCGACGCTGCTGCCGCGGCCGCTGCTGGCGTCTCACTGTCGCTGCCGCTGCTGCTGCTCGACTTGGTGCTGCTGCAACTGCTGCTGCTGCTGCTATCGTCRTCGCTGCTCAGCGCATCGGCGCGATCGAGCTTCGCCGCCATCGTGGCAAACGTTGCTGTTGGCTTCTTGGTGGGCGTATTGCTATTGGAACTGCTGTTGCTGCTATGCTCACGCTTGCGCGTGCCCGCAGCAACTGTTGCCGGCGCCGTGCTGTTGCTGCTGCTGACACTGCCTTTGGCCAGCGGCTTCTTGGCTGCTGTCAACGTTGGTCCCTTGGCCTGCGAACTGCTCGCCGAGGCGCTGCTCAGATTTCCGCTCTGCTGCAGTTGTTGCTGCTGTTGCTGCAGTTGTTGCTGTTGCTGTTGCTGCGCCTGCTTGCGTGGCCTGCCGCGTCCCTTTTTAATTGCTGGCGCCGCCGCCGCAGCCACCGGCACCGCCACCGCGGCAGCAGCTGCTGCGGCTGTCGCTGCCAGCTCCAGCGCATGCTTCTTATTGCTGCTGGCCATGGGCTCGTCCTCGTCGCTGGAGTCCAACGGCGCTGTTGCCGCCGACATTTTCTTTTTGCGCGGCTTCTTTTGCCGCGGCTTCGGCGACGCCGGCAGCGGCCCAATTGGCGTCAATGTGACGCTATTCGGCTGCACCTTGTGCTGCATTGCTTGCGGCACGCGCAGCACCGTCGTTATCGCCGCAGGTACGCCAGGTATTTGCAGTGTTTCGCCCGGGCCGGGCATCTGCAACACTTCGCTGCTGCCGCCGGCGCTGTCGGAGCTGCTGCTGCCGCTGCCGCTGCCGCTGCTGGCGCTGCCGGAGTCGGACAATCGGGACTCGCGTTTGATTTGGTTCTTTGGCAAGGCACCCACCAGCTGCTCTGTGGTCAGCTGCTGTTGCTGTTGCAGCAGCAACTGTTGCTGTTGCTGCTGCTCCAGTTGCTCCTTCTTTACAGTCACAGTCAGGCCATATCTCTGCTGCTGCTGTTGCTGTTGCTGCTGCTGCTGTTGTTGGCGATGCTGCTCATCCGCCTCGTCGTCCTCGTCATCGCCCACGTGCCGCGGCTCGTCGTGCAGCTTCTCGTTCTTCACAATCGCCGTGGTCACGTCGATCGACTCGGGTATGATCTGTGCACCGCCTGGCAGGATGCCCGGCACCTTCATGCTCACATTGCCCATGGCATTGGCCACACCCGGCGACACACTCTCGGCGGCCGTCTGATTCGCTGGCTTGGGAAAGAAACGACTTAGATTCCAGCGATTGCTGTCCGTGGGCGAAGGCGTCTTGTTCGATGAGCTGGAGCTGCTCATGGTGCCCATGCAGGAGCCGCTCGAGCCACCGCCGCCGCCGCATGTGTTGTTGGTGGCATTGATGGCACCACCAGCACCAGCACCACCACCTGCAACACTGCCAGCACCAGCACCACCCAAGCCACTGGACGTGAGCAACCCACTGATTGTATTCGCTCCACTCGCAATTATCGTTTGGCTGTATTTCTTTTTGCTGCCATTGGCGCTGGCAGCGAGCCGTTGTTGTTGCTGTTGCAGCAGCAACTGTTGCTGCTGTTGTTGTTGGAGCAACAGCTGCTGCTGCTGCTGCTGCTGTTGCTGCTGCTGCTGCGTATCACCTTTGCTGCTTGCCTCGCTGCCCGATTCGCTGGAGTCGGACTCGGAGCTGTTGCTGCTATTGCCAGCCGATCGACTGCGAGAGAGAGAGAGAAAGAGAGGGCGAGAGTGAGATTAGGGTATCCCAGCAGCGCTTGTAAAACTGTTATACTTACCCTTCCTTTTTGCGCTCATCATCTGATTCGGATAGTTCCAGATCGTTCTCAAGGCTGAAAGTTGAACAAATATTTTTTGCATTAGTTTCTCTGAATAAACTATTATTATAT